CGCTCCTAGGGCAGGCGGGCGGCCGAGGCGGCTGTGTTGCAGGCCGTCGGAGTGTGGCAGGACCTGACACCTGTCCTCTCCCCTCCCCTCCCCTCCCCTCCAGCCCAACGCCGCTCCTCTGAATCTCTTATTTTTTAATAGACAATTGCCTGGGGTGGGGGCATGTAGTTTCGCACTTTGTTTCCTGCTCCTCATTTCACCTAGGTTAGGCTCAGAGTAAACACTCGTCTGCCCCACTAGGTCTCAGGTCCCATATCTTGTGCCCCACCAGGGCAGCAGAAGTGAGCTTCCTGTTGGAGCTTCCTTCCTCGCCCTGGAAGGTCCCAAGATTTGGTCCTAAAATCCCAGCCTTTTTAGGTATTAGATAGGTAGTTATTGGAATGGCCTATGACATCCTAGAGGCAAGGACTTCTTGCCTCACTTCATTTCTGGACCATCCCAGCTACAGCATCACCTGTGTGAGCATATTGTGACATGCTCAAACCTGTGCAGGTAAAGAGAAGGTAAAGTTCTTTATAAGACATTTCTTCTGTAACATGTGGTGTGTAGAGAACACAGAGCAAAGTGTGTAAATGTTTTTTTGACAATCAGTTTTGATGATTTATATAACCCGTTTGCAACTTCCTTACGCCTGTCTAATCCACATGGCCCTCCCTTTGTTCTGATGCAGTCATTTTGCCACATCATAGCATTTCCCTATTCTCTGTCCATGCAAGTCATGCTTACATGCATACCTACAGAATGTAGTAAGCAGTTTGAGGAGAATGTAGTATGTCTTATTTCTCTTCATTTGGGAGAAGAAAAGTTCAAAAATATTTTCACTTCTCAGCTCCCAGGAGATAATGTGAGTGCTTTGGGAGAGTAGTTGAGCACCTGAGTGGTGCTAACTGGCTGGGTTTCTTCCTTCCACAGACAATGCCTCGGACCCTGGTGTAACAGCCAAGCTTCTCTGCATTGATGTTGTGGAAATTAAGGGAGAGCCTTGTTTAGCCTTTACAGATAATGGTGCTGGAATGACACCTCACAAACTTCACCATATGCTCAGGTAACCGCCTAAGAACTTGCCCCAGAATGGCTCTGGTACCCAGATTCAAGTGGTATGTACAAGTGCTGTCTGATTCAGGCTTTCATGTTTCAAGAATCCCACTCTGGATGCACACTGAGCTCTCTTTTTGTTGCTCTTCCCTTCCTCTCCCTCCTAGTGTACAAGGTCCTAATATAACTGCTCTTATAATTACATATGCTCTCAAGCTGCTTTCTAACATGGAATTATAGAACATTAGGGTTGGAAGAGACGTGAAGAGGTCATCTAGTCTAGTGGTTCCCAACCATTTTTTATACTGTGGACCAGCAAACTCGCTCAAAGAATTTTGCCAGACTGGGTATAAAAACTATCCAATTTACGTATTTAAATTTAATTTGCATATTTATTTATTTTACAGGGTGGGGCGGGGAGTTACAAAGATTGGATTGGGTTGGGGCACTGCAGCCACAGGCACTGGGGGGACCCAGAAGGGGAGTGGGCTGTGTAGGTGGTGGGCCGGGGGGGAACCAACTGGGGCTGCCCAGTAAGAAGGGGCTCCACTGCTTTCTCTAGGAGCAAGCATCAGCACCACCTCCCCACCCTCTGCCCCAGGCATTTCCCTGCCTGCCTCTTCCTGCTCCCTGCTGCAGGTGGGGCTGGGGGGTCCTGCCTGGCCCAGCACGGGCCCTGGTTGCCTCACCAGGCATTGTCATGGCAGCAGGAGTGGGACCGGGCTCACGGAGCTGGGTGCCTCCCTCCCAGGGTTGCCCTGCCACCCAGCTTTAACCCCACACATGACTGCCAGCGATGGAAGTTCATGTTGCCGCCTGGTGGGTGGGAACCTCTGATCTAGTCCAACCTCCTGCTCAAAGCAGGACCATCCCCAACTAGAGCATCCAAGACGAGGCTTTGTCTAGCTGTGTCTTAAAAACCTCCAAGGGTAGAGAGTGCACATGGGGTGCATTCTCTTGGACGCTCAACTTACATGGGACATGCATGTATTACATATATAGGGATTCCTCATTTACCCACCTGTCCCGGCCTAGTTGCTCTGTTTCCAGAAGGCCAGTTGCAAACTACTGTCACTTGGGAAGTGTGCGGGGTGGGTGGGGTTGTGGCTTGGTTTTTGTTGCCCACCAGCTTTTTGACAAATCTGAAAGGGGGGTGGGGTAAGAGGCTGAGGAGCTATTATTTCTTCAGACCCTGTGAACACAAAACCACAGTTCTTCAAACAAGTGGTTCAGGAAGTGAAAACCAGAAGCTTTGACCCCTTCCTGCTCTGTGTGGTGAAAGAGGAGAGCAATGTCCTGGTCTTAGTGCTTGTTCTTTTACACTCTTAGGAAGTGTATGTAAAACTGGAGCAGAGGAAGGATGTAGCAGGCCCCTCTAGCCCCTAGCATTCTGAGAGCAAGATAATTTCAGGGTCACATGGAAACTCATTTTGAAATCTTTCTCCTGCAATAAGGGCATGGTTTCCAAACTGCTAAAGGACTCATTCAAAACAGGCTGGAGTGAGATGTGGCAAAGCCAGAAAGTTGACACTCTTTCCTTCCCATTGCACTCCTTTCCCTTTTCTGTCACTGTGTGAAGTGGTGGGGAAGAGCTGTCTCCATTTCACATGCACAGTAAAGAGAGAGAGTGAATTAGGTTGTCTGGTGTATAGAGCAGAATTAGGAAGAGAGGATGCACTGTGGACCTGATGGTTATTGACTTAGTGTGTAAACTGGCAGATTGCTCCTTCCTCATAACTCCTTTTCACATCCATAATAAAATAATAATAATAATAATAATAATAATAATAAAATAAGGATGCCAACCCCTAGGTTTAGGGATTCATTAGTACTTGGAGGTTCTTGGAGAGTAAATACGGAGCACAGGTTATATTAGTCATCAGTAAGTCATGGTTCTCTGGTGCAGTGGAAGTCAGCATGGTCCAGCAGTTAAAGAAAGACTGGGTGTCAGGATAATTGGCTACTAGTTATAGTTCTGCCATTGTTTTGCTTTCTGATCTTTGGCAGACCTCTTGTCTGTGAGCTTCCATTTCTCCATCTGTAGGATGACTTGACAATCTTTACAAAGTGCTTCAAAGTCTTTGGCTGGGAAGTGCTGTACTAGGAAAAAGTATTCATTTGTTTAATCCGCTGTGTGGTGGGGCCTTGCATTTAAAATCCCTTTCCATTCTTCTTCCCCCCCACCCCCCGCCTTTTTGCTAACCACTATCTCTGAGGTAACTATCTTTCCATTTGAATGAATTCCAGCTTTGGCTTCACAGACAAGGCAGCGAAGAAGAACCACCCATCCATAGGGGTGTATGGCAATGGCTTCAAGTCAGGTTCTATGCGGCTGGGAAAAGATGCCATTGTCTTTACTAAGAATGGAGGTGTACTCAGCGTGGGGCTCCTTTCACAGACCTACCTGGAATGTGTCCACGCTCAGGCTGTTATTGTCCCATTGGTACCATTCAGCCAACAAAACAATATCCTTCCCTGAAAAGTGAGAGGGGCCATGCTTCCTGAACTGCTTATTTAGGGGATTGGGGGGT